AAATTATACACAATTTCAACTAATTTGATGCACATTTTGAAATTTTTTTTTTGCATCCTGGTGTTTGTATCCAGCCTTTTTTTTTTTTTGCAATATCACACTTTTTGCATAAACATACAGTATGTGGATGGAAACCTGACTCGACTATATATCATAGAGACTCTTTTGACTTGTGACTGTAAACAACCACCTTAGCAACCACACACTAACACTCCAAACCTTAACAACTGAATAATACAGTTTATTTTAGTTTGATAGAATTTTCTCATTAAACCGATGTGATTCTCCACATGTAGGCTCTTACCTTCCTGCAGGTACATGACGGACTGCGAGTAGTTCTGCAGCGCATGGTGCGTTCGTCCCAGGCTGCTGTAGGCCAGAGTTTTGGCCACCAGGTCGTTGGTCTGCGCCGCGATGCTCAGGTGCTGCTCCTGATACACCACGGCACGCTCGAAATTACCCAGCGACTCGTAAGTGAGTCCCAGGTTCCCGTAGGCCCGTCCCTGACAGCTGCCGCTGCCCGTCTCCTCCGCGATCTGGAGGTCCAATTGGTGAAACTGAAGGGCCGTGTCGTGTTCGCCCATCAGCTGGTACACGGTGCCCAGGCCGCAGCTGGCGTCGCCCTCCAGCAATCGATCTTGGGTGTCGCGGGCGATGGCGAGCTGCCGCTCCAGGCAGGAGATGGCCTGCTCGTAGTTACCCAGCTGGCTGTGCAAGCTGCCCAGTTCTCCGTACGCCTGAGCTTTTCCCCCACACTCGCCCAGCTCATGCGCCACCACCAACCTCTTCTCAAAACACACCAGAGACTGCTGAAGACTCCCCATCGCCCTGACAAACAAAGAGAAGCACCATTAGACATACATAGCTAGAGAACAACTGATTGGCTGAGACTCAGTGTAACTATAAGTGTACATACAGTAAACTCATGAAAACAATACATACTATATAGCAAATCTCAACTGCATGATTGTTTATTTTCACACACACGGCACAGGATGACAATATCTAATGAATAATTACTACTACGATCATTATTATTACTACTTTATATTTTATATACTATAATTATATTTTCTAAAAAGTGCACAGTTACTGAACTTAAAAGTTCAATAAAAAGTGGAGATCCAAAATACTGAAAAATTTAATAAGTCAAGTCACATGGTAAATAAATAAATGAATGAATGAATAAATAAATAAATAATTCTATATTAAAATGTGACTGAGGTGTGCATACATTTGCATAATTCTACACATATAGTAAAAGAAGAGGAGATCCAAAATACTGAAAAATCTAATCGGCCATTCATTATATACAATTTCAGATATTATTTTAAAGAAATTATTATATTAATATTCAAATGATCTGTTGCCACAATTGTGCATATATTTGCAATGTCAGGAAATAGTGTTTTTTTTACTGCAGCAATATGATCAAATATGACAATATCTAATAAAAATGAATACTAATAATTTCAACAAAATTACTATCAATTCTAAAATAAAATTGTTCTTTTCTAAAAAAAAATTGACAGTAAAAGAAGAGAAGATCCAAAATACTTTTGAAAAATATGTTTGGATGAGCCACACTGCACTGTTAATAATAAAAAATAAAAATAAAATAATAATAATGATAGAATAATCTTTTGTCACATTGCTGCTGATATATACAGTATATATATATATATATATATATATATATATCTCAGCAATATGAGTAATAATAGATAATAATTACTAAAATATGACAATATTTAATCAATAATTATTAATATGAAATAAAATTACTATTATTAAAATAAAATTATTATTTTCTAAAATACACACACACAGACACAGACACACACACACACACACATATATATATTGCTGATATATACAGTATATATATATATATATATATATATATATATCTCAGCAATATGAGTAATAATAGATAATAATTACTAATACTACTAATAATAATTCCAATAAAATGATTATTGTTATTAAAATTAAACTGTTCTGTCAAGAAAATAATATTTAATATTAATAAAATAATGACAGTATTGTAGATATCCTGCTGCATAAAAATACATAAGATTGTACTACGGTTAAATCTGTCTAACGGCTTATTGCTTTATTAGCTCTAATTGTGTCTGCTTCCAGACTGTGGTATAATCAAATAGAAATAAGTGCAATGTAAATTTCATTTAGACTGTCACACAGAATGTTTACATGCTGATATCAAATTTACAGAGCGATTTTGAGATTTATGTATTCCTTTTAATACGAACCTTCTCACATGAAACAGAATCTCATAAAACAGAGTAGTTCATTGCTGCTAAAATACTGAATGTGAGGGAATCAGGAGGGACGGTGTGTTTTAGATCGATATAAGCTATTCCAGCAACACAAAGGTGGCAGGACAGCGCTAATGCAGCTTCATTTAGAAAGAGAAATGTAGTCCATACGCTCCCATCCGTAGGGAGAGCGGGTTTGAAACGGGCTTCGGTACCGGCTCTCTGTGGAATAACAAAACCAGGCTTAATTCATACAGGCCGGGCACTCGCTCACTACTTAGGTAGCATAAAAGCGATGCATCATTACCCCTTGTTGTCCTGTCACTTGAAATTACAGCAACATCAGTCTTGTTGAAAGGTCCTGCCTCATTTCAATATAAATGAAACAAATAGCTTTTAACGCAGGCCTTTAATGAGGTTCTTGTTGGATTCTTCTGCGCTATCTGAGGTAAAGCTCCTCTCTGCTGAGGGGAGTGCAAGCGCATTGTCACAACTGACAGTGTAATTTACCTTCCCGCTGGACCGCGGGAAGTACGAGGGTTTGGGTTTGAGCTTGGCTCGTTGCGGGCCCGGTGTGAGTTCTCTTCCCACAATCCTCAGCGTCGAGCGTTTTAGATCGATATAAGCTATTCCAGCAACACACAGGTGGCAGGACAGCGCTAATGCAGCTTCATTTAGAAAGAGAAATGTAGTCCATACGCTCCCATCCGTCGGGAGAGCGGGTTTGAAACGCAGTTCGGTACCGGCTCTCTGTGGAATAACAAAACCAGGCTTAATTCATACAGGCCGGGCACTCGCTCACTACTTAGGTAGCATAAAAGCGATGCATCATTACCCCTTGTTGTCCTGTCACTTGAAATTACAGCAACATCAGTCTTGTTGAAAGGTCCTGCCTCATTTCAATATAAATGAAACAAATAGCTTTTAACGCAGGCCTTTAATGAGGTTCTTGTTGGATTCTTCTGCGCTATCTGAGGTAAAGCTCCTCTCCGCTGAGGGGAGTCCAAGCGCATTGTCACAACTGACAGTGTAATTTACCTTCCCGCTGGACCGCGGGAAGTACGAGGGTTTGGGTTTGAGCTTGGCTCGTTGCGGGCCCGGTGTGAGTTCTCTTCCCACAATCCTCAGCGTCGAGCTCTGACAGGACCCTGCAGCAAACCATTCATCATATTTCCATGCCCATATACTTGTAGGTAAGCAGAATCCACTAGGGTTTGTGATGGGAGTTGGAACGCTTTAAAGGGCTGATTGGATGTTAATTAAAATGGATGCGTGGCGGATCACGCCGAGGATGCTGGGTAGACATGTACGGAGTGCACAGCTGCGCACAGAACAACTCACTTTTTTGAGAGATCAAGAAAATAAATCTTAGAATTAGAGTTAAGAAATTGAGTCACTGTTTTTTTTTTGGCAAACTATCTCCACTTGAAACAGAATATCAAATGGGTGTTTCACTAAAAGAAGTTCGTTAAGCTTGAAATCAAATAATAAAGCAAATCTGTTGTTGAAGACTAAAAGTATTGTGTAACTTTGCATTAGGATTTTTTGTAGTGCATGAAATGCAACATCAAGAGCAAATTTTTTGTATTTTGTATTTGTAACGCAATGGCTCAACATTAGCAAATAGATCCAAAACTCAAAGATTTGTTCTTTTATTATCTCTCAAAAATGTTTACAGAATTTCCATATGGCATTATATTTAAATGTACTAAAAATAAATGTTGCTGTTTTGCCACATGAACTAATTTGAACATTTTTTGAGTGATCAAGCCATCAAATAAACGAAAATTAATCAGAGTTTTAATATTAATTCGCTTTTCATTTTTGGGTTAACGATCCCTTTAAGTCAAAAACTGTATGAATGCTACTTCATTAGATAACAATATCAAACCAGGATGTATTTCACTAAAAGAAGTTCAAAAATCAAATCATAAAACAATAAATCTACTGTTGAAGACAAAAGTACTGTGCAATCGTGTTTCATAAAGTACAATCCTAATGCTTCTATATACTATATACTGTATATCTAAATACTTCTGTATTTGCAATGCAATGGCTCAACATCAGTGAAGCGATTCAAAACTCTGATTCAAAGATTCATCTGCGTTATCTCTCAAAAATGTTCACAGAATCCCATAATGGATTTTTTTTAATATTAATATGTACTAAAAATACATGTAATTAAATGTTGCTGTTTATCATGACACATGGACTAACATGAACGCAATATCAAACAAGTAAATCTTTGAATCAGAGTTTTAAAATTGAGTCACTAATCAGTTTGAACTGATTCACAGAAACAAACTGAACTCCAACTTTGTTTGCTACTATTAAAACATCTCTCATATTCACAAGTCATAAGGAGAGATCACAAAAAAGATAAATGACACTCCTTAGGCAACAAATAAGAAGTGCATTAAAATAACTGCACTATTTAAGATGTTGCCTAATTTTTATTTGCCTGCAGAATATTAAATATTGTAAATATGTCACATTACTCACCATGAATAGCAAGCATGCAACTTATTTACCTAGTAAAAAATGCTATCTATTCAAATGCAAATATGCACTAACATACAGCAGATAAACTACACGCAACAACAAAAAAACATCTATAAAAACAAATATCTAGTATGCATATAAAAACTGAGTGTGCAAGTGAACATTTGGAGAGATTCTGCAGCTGACACAGATTCCCCAGTTTGGGTGTGAGAAGCACAAAAAGTGCTTTTATGCGGTATGCATCTCTGTGTACATGCGTGCAGCCCTGTGTACTGTCATTTCAGCATGCATGTTGAAGGTGGGGTCATGCTCGGATACGAAACAATTCCATTTTCAATCTGTTGCATGTTGTGAGAGTGTTCTGTGTCCGCCTGCTGACCTCATGGTGTCAGTCCTCATGCCGCCCTGATACAGTAAGTGCCTCTATCAGACTGAAGCAACTAGAATAACAAGCAGCCTGTAAAAAAAAAGTAATCTAATCTTATCTAAGAGCATATTGCATTGAAGTATGACTAGTAATTTTGCACGCTTTTTACAGTGGCGTCAAAAAGTATTTAGGCACTTGAAGGAACAGTTCATACTCATGTCAATCTAAATAAAAATGAAAGTCAATGGGGTCCAGTGTTGTTTTGAATCCCATTGACTTCCATTGCATGAATAAAAACAGAAATATTGTTCAAAATATATTCTTTGCTCAACAAAGATACAGATTTAAAACAACTTGAAGGCAAATCATTACAATTTTCATTCTTGGGTGAACTATCCTTTTAAGTCACTTAAAAATGTATAAATGCTATCTGATCAGATAACAGAATATGAAATCAAGAGGCATTTCACTAAAAGAAGTTTGTTAGGTTTTAAATCAAAACATGTACATGGTATATACTGCAAAATAAGTATTTGTCTTATTTTCCAGCTAAAATATCGAAACAATTCTCTCAAGGTATAAGATAATCTCAAGATACATTTGCCACAAATTCAGTTCAGGACATTAAAAAGAGACATCTTAATCAGTTCTTAAGAATTTTTTACTTGTTTTCCAGTTAAAATATTTGGAAATCCTTAAAACAAGATATAATTTAGTCGAGATGCAACACTGCATAAGATATTAGTTCTTGTTTTTTAACCAAGTGTATTTTGTCTCACTGCACTGGCATATTTTTACACTTATTTTAGGTATAAACAAGTTAAAAAGTTAAAAAATCTACCAGTGTCGTGAGACAAAATACACTTATATTCAAGATGCAAACTATGAAATTAAGTCTGAATATATTTATAAGTATCCGTATCATATTTTAAGGATATTTTGAAAGCAAAACAAGTAAAAATCAATTGTTTGCAGATGCAACATGGTTTGATATGTTTTCGACCTAAGTGTCGTTTGTGTTTTGGGGCCAGTGTAAAATGAAAAATAACACAAAAATGGTCTTGAATTCTTACCTGTGTCCATTACCAAGACCTCTGTATGCCTTCTCCTGGTCCTGCATATGGTTGAGGCTCTGTGCCACGGAGAGATACTGGTCATAATACTTAATTGCCTCTTCAAAATCTCCCAGCGAGTCATAGCAGTCTCCCAAGTTCCCATAAGCACGACCACGGTCCAGCACGGCCTCGTTGCCACTGAGCTGCTGCAACATCGCCAACTGTTGCTCAAAATAGCCAATGGCCTCCTCCATTACTCCCATGTTCATTTTCGTAATACCCATGTTACCATAAACCTGGGCTTCAATGCTGGGGTCCTTCAGTCGCTGGCCAAGCTCAAGCTGTTCCTCGTAACATTTAAAGGCCATGGAGTACTTTCCAAGAGACATGTAGACGGCAGCGAGGTGTCCATGAGCCTGGCACTCTCCCTGGATGTCGCCCTGCTCCTGGTACACCTCCAGTTCCTGGGTGTGGTACCCTAAGGCCTTGTCAAACTTCTGTAGCATTCGGTAGGCGGCTCCCAGTGCAGCGTAGGCATTTGCCTCCATCTTGCGATCCTTGACTTGGTGCGCCAAGGACAACTGCTGCTCGTAAAACTTGACGGCTCCGGGAACGTCCTTCTTACAAAGGAAGATGTCTCCCAGGTTGCCCAAGGCGCGGAATCGAGCCTGCGAGTTGTTCAGCGACTGTGCCAAGGAAAGAAGGTACTTCTGGCACTCCTCCGCCTTGCTGTAGTCGCCAAGAGCCTTGAAGGCCAGGCCCAGATTACAGTAGGCTTTGGCTTGACTTAACTTGTCATGGAGGTCCTTAGCAAGTGCCAGATCTTGTTCGTAGTACTTCACCGCCTCCTGGAAGTTTCCCAGACAGTAGTGTGCGTATCCCAAGTTGTGACAGACCTTACCTTCGCTCTCCATATCCTGCAAGTCTGGGGAAAGCCGTAGGTACTGTTCATAGTAGGGTACGGCTTGGGGAAACTCTCCCCGAGAGCAGTGGAAATTACCCAAGTTGCCCAAGGCACGAGCCTCACTCTGGATGTCTCTCAACTCTCGGGCAATGTTTAGATGATTCTGGTAATGTTGCAAGGCCCGATCATGCGCCCCCAGAGCCTGGTACGCCACTGCCAGGTTCCCATGCGTCGAAGCCTGCGAGGCACGATCGTTAACCTCCATGGAAATCTGCAGCTCTTGGCGGTGGTAGCGCACGGCCTGGTCGAAGGCACAGAGGGCGTTGTAAGCGTTGCCCATGTTTCCGTACGCCCTTCCCTGGGCGGCATAGTCGTTTAGCTCTTGGGCGATGGATAGATGAGCCTTGTGCAGCTTCAGAGCGGTCTCGTAGTCCCCTTTCATCTGGTGAATGATTCCTGTAAAGAAGAAAAGAATAGTTTCATTCAGTCGAATTGTGCTTATCATGCTTCACAGGATAACCGAAATGGCTTTTCAATATCTTCGATCTGTATAAAAGAGGCTAAAGATTAAGTTTACATTTAAAAACGCCCTGAACTACAATGTACACCAAGCAAATCATCCAACTGGAAAAAAAGGGAATAAGATCTGAGAAAGCCCACTGATGCTTGTAGAACTATCTTTTAATTAAAAAGGAGATCTGATCTGATTTGTGTAGTTTCGACTCGCCTTCAATCAAAGTTCTGCGCCCCAAAGATATGCCAATATGAGGCGATGACAGTCAAAACAGCCAGATCTGCTCAGTCCTGGGAGACTTCTTGCAAATTTTGGGTCCCCCTAATGTTGCCTTACCACTTTTTCACAAAATGATCATTACCGTCATAATATTACAGTCCCGCCTCTCCGGTTCCAGTACAGTACTTTGGGGAAAGTAGAGGAACAGGGGAGGAAAAGGGCTAATGAACACTTCTGATGGAAAAAGGGTTTGATGGCACCAGCATTGGGAAACTTTAATTGTGGTCCACACCACATCTCTGTATGCTTTAACCGGGTTTCTTTTCCTTTGAAAGTCAGAGCTAAGTATCAGGGATAAGGAAAACTGCTGGGATGAGTGGAAAACAAGAAGTGTCAGTGGTGCACAACTGGGAAGTCTGTGGCGACCATTTATGTAATTGTCAGAGATGCCGGCTGACCCGAAAATGAGCTCTGGGAATAGGATGCCAATGAAAACACATCGGAGGCAAGTAGCGTGTGAGATAAAAGTGTTTTTTAGAGAGTCGTGGAGCCACTGTTGACAGAGTGGTTTGGCATCTTAAGGGAACTCGTTCGGTCTGCTGACTGAGTCACGGGCCACAAGCGTGTCCTTCTGTGTGTGTGGAAGCAGGAGGCGACGGGGGGTATCAGAATGGGTGAGGGGTTGCCCATCTGCTCAGTGTCAATACTCATGTGCCAAGCCAGGATTACCAGCATGTGGTAAATCCAATTAGATCCAGTGCCAAGCTGGTATCCTGACACGGAGGGCCCATTAGAGCTCTTCTCTATTCACAAATATTTCCCCCAAAAAAGCCCCAGTCTTCAGTGACTAATTATCAATACTTAACCCCATGATTCTTCATTTATCAGCGAGCAAAGCTTCAGACAAAAGCTTGTTTGAAAATGAATCCTTTGAGACGTGTGCTGTGTAACGTGCCAGACACAAAAACCTTTGATGAAAGAAACCAACACCTTTAGGTCTGTTTTTATTAAATGACTGGTCCTGCTTGTACTTTTAAACACTTTTATACTGGCTCTGTTCAATGTGACTGCTAGGAACACAACAGACGGTGCTAACACGACCTAAAAAAACTTCCTTGAGCTAAAAACAGAAATGCTGAGCTGAACAATTCTACACTGTCAGGACATAAATACTCCCGACTGTCTGCAAATTAACAGAAGGGACTGCTATTAATTCACAAACAGTAGGGAGTGTTTATGTGCACAAACTACTTAAACTAATGGATAATTTACAGCAGTTGTTCTAAAAATGTGGCACGCTGAGTGCCCCCTGGTGGTATGCAACTTGGCTTAAAATTCATAATACTAAAACATGCACATTTAAAATTATATTCATTTATTTACTCACTTAAATAATTGGTAATTAATATTAATAAAATTGTAATATATTTTAAATTTTATTATAATAACATTTTAATAAAAACAATAACAAAAATTCTATTAAAATATATAAATATAAACAAAGTTTGCTTACAGCTCAAAAAGATGCACATTTGCATAATTTAAGCAACAGCATGATAGCTCGCTATTGCGAATATATCACACCACAGTCAGCTTTATCTTCAGCATTTCGTATTAAGAACGGGGTCACGGCTACAAACAAAAAGAGCACCCCTTTGATAGGTCAGTTAAGAGGATTACACGGTCACCTGCGGTCAACGCAAACGGGGCAAAAATGCGTTTTAAGTTCAGAAAAATGTTGAGCCTCCCCCTCTCTTGCCTCACAGTGGTCCAAATGCCTGCTTTCGTCTTTTACATCAATCAGTGTTGCCAAGTCCGTGGTTTTCCAGCAGAATTGGGCTACTTTAACACTGTTGCCGTGGGTTGTTTTTCATTTCCGCGGGTTGAAGCGTCCTTAACGTGATATTTAGCTCCTGGAATGCGAATTTTACCGGTGGAACCCAGCCGGAAAACGTGTATTTTACCCCCCCCGCAACGCGATTTTTACCGGGGAACCCCCCTCAAAACGTGATTGGGCTAGTTTTGGGCTAGTTTTGAGTAGCAATTGGGTGTTTTTTTTTTTACGAAAACCTGGCAACCCTGCATCACCTATACACACAAGTCACACGGTGAGTGAGAAAAAGTCAATAGTTGTGGAACTCGGCTGTCGAGGCTATTTTATTCACTTAAACATTGGATGAAGTGATTATTTTTTCTTTAATACAGATGATGCCAATGTATTTTTCGATGAGACTGCTATTTTAGCAATAATAACTTTACCTGCCTGACAGATAGTAATGTATACAACAGTCACGACCGCTATCGCGGTGCGACCACAATAGCATGAAGTTGTCTAATTTGGCACAGTCTCCCTGCTACAATAAAAGTAGTAAGGCTTTCCTCTGTGTATACTTATATCCTTACAAGTACAATTTTAGCTGTATTATTTGTGTCCCCTTCAAAAATTGCTCTTGAGAAATTTTATGATTATTGCCCCCCTCCGTACTCTAAGATGAAATTTACGCCCCTGCATATGGCCCCATTGTTAAAGTTAAATCCCCAGAGCCGACACACAGGAGAGGGTAGGATGAGACTGGGGAACAGGATCTGAGACTGATCGGAGGTCAGTGAAAAGGTTAAAAACTCCTCAGCTCTAAGGGGTGAATAATAATTGCAACGCTGCAGTATTTGGCTAAAAAAGACGCTAGACTCTAAGAGCCTCTGCCTACATTAGCAGAAGTGGGATTTTGAGGATGTCTTTTCAGCTTTGATGCCCTGCTATGTGGAACGAGTGATGGGCAGCCCTTCAAACAAACATTAAAAATACTTCCCTCCCCAGGCGGTCGTTTTGCCCGAATGCATGTGAAATGTAGTAATTTAATCTTCAAATGGCACAATCTTCAACCCCAAATGACTGAAACGCCATGACTTTTTTATTTTATTTTTACTGAGATGTCCTACTTGAACTCATTACATAGCTGTCGCTTTTTAAGCGTTCCCGCTCTGTAAAGGCTGTGACATTCCGGATTAATTAGCTTTAGCGTGGACTCGCCTTTAAAGCTCGACTTCCTGACGAGATTTTGACAACTAAATGAAACCAATCAAACCAGCAGCCATCAGATGTGTGTTAAATTCTTAATATAGTACATTTAATAATAGAACGCATTTACTCTGATTTCATGTCAAAATCATGTCATGATGACAATTTTGAAACATGCATGAAAGATGTTAAGCTCAAAAGGGCTATGTGACTATCAAATATGGGCTATATGTCTGTCAAATGAGTAAGTAATGAGCATACAGAGCGCAACGTCTGGGTTAAGGGAGGATTTTTTTTTTTTCCGGTGTGCTTAATTTGACAAATTCCCAGTAAGATGATATTTTTTTAAATATTTATAATAAATATATATATATATATATATATGACCCATACCATGTATTTTTGGCTATTGCTACAAATATACCCCAGTGACTTAAGACACATATGTCTTTTATCATCTTAGTGGGAATTTGTCAAATTATATATATATATATATATATATATAACAATATTATATGATATATTAAATATTATATAAATATGAAAATATAACAAACTATAAATAATGTGACCATAAAACTCATTTTTTAAAACTTTTTTTAAACTTAAGTAAAGTTTTGTTTTTATAACTAGAAATTAACACATGTCAGCAGTTGTATATTGTAGTATTGTTGCCATCTGCCATGCTTCATGGGAAATGAGATTAATTCTGCTATAGAGTTGTCTTTTATTCAAATTTTCAAACATGTTTTTGCTTTAAAACAAAGTCTGTGATGTTGTGATTCATTTAGCAGAAAAAGGCAGAAAAACACTGGCGACTCGAAACGACCCCTCTTAATGTCTTCACCTCAAACATACACTCTACTTATTTAACGGAAACCAAAATTGTACGCAAAGTGACTGCAATAAGAAGCGGCTGACGGAAAGCAAAAACATAATACTAATAAGTGCAGCTGTATTTCAGCAGGCATGTCTGTTCCACAGCTATTTTCCTTTGTTATGATTCCTGTCTGTCTCTCAAAACCATTCCCGTCTCGTCTCCTCCCATTCAAACGCAAACGCTAACTAGGCCCGATATTCTGCCGTAGGATTTATAGCTCAGAGCCAGTCTTGAAAAACCCTAGGGAAAATGGGGACAAACAAATGGCAGACTTTGAAGATTCTTGCAAGTCTAGGGTCATCTTTGTTATTGGCTTCAGACGAAGAGTAAAACAGTTGAACACTGCGGCTGGCAACAGTTTGCCAGATGCATTAATTTTACATTAAGTCTCTCGCAGAAGAAGTTGTGTTTATTCTCTGCTTCCACTTTTAGCTAAGCAAAGCGCGGTTAGTGTTTTTTTTACCAGCCGCAGATTGTTGATAAACACCTTCTTAATGTCTGAGTAACGGGAGTCTGGCCTTCGGAATTCTTTGGAATTTTCGAATCGTTTTGAAGATCTATTTTGGAATTTCCAAATACTGCATTTCCGCTATATCCCTGGTGGTTTTGGCGCACTTTCGCATACTTGCACTGCCGCAGTGTGCTGGAGACTGCACTAAACGACTGTCTGTGGAAACAGGGCCTCAAATGTGACCGCTGGTAACGACTGTCAAAGCAACACATCAAACGGGCTTTACGCACTACACTTAACCCGGGGTTAATGCATTTTAACCTTGTGCTAATGATGCTTTTAACGGTTCTTTAAGCAACGTTTCACACTTGTA